TATCTGACAGGAAGAGAAAAAGGAGGTGATGGTGGTGAGGATACCTTAACCCCCTCCAGCAAGCCAGACATTTTTAAAGAAAGGCTGCATCATTTTGATGTTTTAGTAGCCATTAGTTATGATGAATAATTTTGGAGAAAGTTTTCAAGAATTATTATTTTTCGAACTGGTTAAGTATTTGAGGTTTGAAACTACTATTACAACACATGCTTTTTTATGACTGCTTTTTGGTTTTTTTTTGTAGCATGGTATGTAATGTCATGTATGAGAATACATGACATTACATACCATGAATTACATAGAATACATTACTTGACTATAACAAAAATTTAACACAGTATTTGTCAGGTTTTAGCCATGGCAATGAAACTGTATTTAGCCAACTGTGAGGTGACAGATACAAATCTTAATGACTAGATTCACAAACCTCGTAGTTAAATTTGAATAGTTATTAATTGCTGTATAATAATAGTAATTAGGTGAGAGAAGTGTGTGTAAATGAGAAAGATTCATAATTTTAGTTTCTATCTCTAAATATTTTGGATGTTTTCCTCTGTAAAGGCACTAGAACTGCTGACGCCGCCTGTTGCTGATAATGAGAATGCTCGAGTAAAAGCGTATGTTAGACGTGGAACAGCCTTCTGTCAGCTGGAATTATATACTGAAGGTGAGACCTTGGTTTTGTGAAAACATACACATGGATTTATAGTGACATGCAAGTAATTCTGCTTAGCTCATTTTTTTTTTTTTTCAGGAGAGATGTTAAAGAAGGCCTCTACAATCTAAGTCTCTTTTATTGTGAACCTTTATATCACAGTCTTTAGACCTTATTTTTATTAATTTACTTGATAAATACAATTTCACTTTACACTTTTAAATGCTTTGCAATTTTTGTGAAAATTTGTTGTACTGATCTAAGGAGTACAAAACAGTTTTTCCATTGAGTTTTCTTATAGCAAATTTTGTATCCCCTCTTTGGTCTATGGGGTGATAGTGGCCAATAATTGACCATAAGAGCTTGGTGGCCATGGAACATATTTGTGAGGAACAAATGAGAGGACAGAGATGAGGTATTTGCATTGGGAATAATTCAAATGTGAGACACAAACTGTTACGAAATGAGGTTGCACTACTTTTGCTGTTCATGAAGCAATGTTTTATTGGTTTTGAGATTATATTTACAGTATTTCCAACTCTAGAACAAATTAACTGAGATGCTTGTGAACTGCTTAGTAATGTATCTTTGTGAAATGATGTATGAAACCCATACCAATGAGCAAAATGTTTCATCAAGTATGTGTGATTTGCGTGAAATTATCTGAATTAATAGTGTCCTACTGAGTTCTCAAAAAATATAAATTTAATTTTGTATGACAAATTTACAAGTGAAAGTCAATAATAGAAAGTGAAGGATATTCAAAATGTCAGTGTTGAACTACTAAGCTTTTCACTTCAGTTACCATTTTCTAAAAATGAATCCTTTTCTCATTCCCTTACAGCTTCCTTTGCGCTTGGAAACCTTATAAAAAAAGACAATTAAACAAGATTTTATTTTACTTCCTGTAGTCATGGTTTGCTTCTTTTCTCCCCAAACTCTAGAATTCAGAGTTTGTGTCTTTTTTTTTTTTTTGCTTGTTTTTGTGCACTTTCATTCTTTAATTCATTTTTTCTCTCTTCTGCAGAACACTTTTGAACACTCCCCTTATGCGTGTGCGTATGTGTGTGTATATATAGTGTATATGTGTGTGTATATATAGATATACATACAGTATATGTGTGTGTGTGTATATATGTGAATGAAGGGGCTCTATTTTAACTTTCAATATCCAAAAATGTTTATGTAGTAGAGTGTTTCCATTACGCTGTTTTGTAAAATACAAACTATTAACAACATGTAAATTTATTTATTGACAAAAGTTAAATCTGATGTAATTCTAATTCTATCTTGTTCATATCAAAACTCAAGATTGCTACTTTATACATATTACTAGGGAGCAGTTATATCCAGTTAGTGGATAAAAAAAAGAAAGTTGTGCATTGTTGATTGGTATTCTTACTAATGTATCTATATTAGGTCTCCAGGATTATGAAGCAGCTCTCAGGATTGATCCTAAAAATAAAGCTATAGAAAAAGATGCTGAGAAGATTCAACACCTAATTCAAGGAACAATGCAAAGTTCTTAACAACAACAACAAAAAAGTAAATAAAAAAGAGCTTTTTGAGAGGGCTGCCTTTTAAGGGCATCAGAAGCAATCTTGGCTTTCTTCAGTCTGATGTTAACTAGACATTTTTCTCTTTCACTTGCAACACTTACAGAATTGGTAAAAGGTTGGGTACATTAATTACTACTGTTGGAAGTATATTATTATAACAAATATGCTTATATATATATCATTTTGATGCAAAGTTGTCATACGTTTGCTTTCTTTGAAACACTGGTGGGCCAAATATTAAAACATGCTTTTGGTACTTGATTTAAAGTTACTCATAACTAAATGAGATGTTTGTCTGGAAATATCTACTGAATCTAGACAATGGGTTTTCAAACAGTTTGAGTAACTCTGCATAGTCAACACCTGTTAACTTCTCACCTTTCTGTTCTCCACCAAAGCTGAAACAGTTATATGGCCTATGGTTATGTGCTTTCCTCTTCTCTTGTTGTTTATAGTGTTTGGCACATCTGAAAGTAAGGAGGGGAATTTAGATGCTCTGATTCAGGCACCCAATTTGGGAAATCTCCACCTGGAAGTACAGAGGTAGATTTTATGTTGTGCAGAACATTCTTTTTAACATTAAGTAATGTAAATGGAATATTTTCAGACTACTTTGAAACATTTGTTTGGGCTGAACAAACAGGGAAAAATTATAAACCTGTAGTGTGGTATTGTAGTGCAGTGGTAATTTAATCCTGTAATAAATTTTCATAATGATGAATATGACTTCTTCCATCCTACTACAGTTCTTAATCTTAGAGTGTACCTGTAAAGCATATTCTAAATCAAAAGCATTGTTATTTGTAAGAGAACGTATCTTTTTCTTGATCTGGTATTTTAATTTGTACTCTGTTGACAATGATCAGTATCTCAGGAATACTGGTGTGATTAAAGAGTCTCAAAAGAGGGACCATCCTGGTGAGGTTACGAGTGCTGTAAAATGACACAGAGAGTGGCACCAAGTTCCTGCACCTGCTGTTTTGGATAGTGGAAGAATGCAATATAGAATTTTACTTGGTGTGTGTGTGTGTGTGTGTTTATTTTAGCACATGCATTATCATGTGTCCTGTTTGAACTGCAGTGGGATGGGGGAAAGAAGGGTAAAATTGAGGAAAACCTGTAGGTTGAAGTAACAACAGTTTGCCAAGCAAAGCAAACCCAGGAGCTGGTTCAGCACTTCCCCTCGGCAGGCAGGAGCTCAGCCGTGCCCGGGACAGCCGGGCTCCAACACACATCCCCCCCTTCCTCCATCTTCCCCCCCTTTATGTGTGGAGCCTGACATCCCAGGGACTGGAATATCCCTGTGGCCAGTTGGGGTCAGCTGCCCTGGCTGCGTCCCCTCACAGCTTCTTCTGCACCCCCAGCCTACTCAGTGGTGGGGTGGAGTGAGAAGCAGGAAAGACCTTGCCTCTGTGTAAGCAGCGCTCAGCAATGACAAAACCATCCCTGTGTTATCAACACTGTTTCCAGCACAAAGCCAAAACACAGCCCCATACCAGCTATTATAATGAAAATTAACTTTACCCCAGCCAAAACAAGCACACTGTGATAACCTAAAACACTGGACTTGAAGTGGTTCTGTTTTGTCAGGCGTTCTATTCAAATTGTGACCCTCTCAACTGCACTCCCTTCAGTAGCAGTCCTAGCAGACTCCTGAATTTTCCATATCAGTCCATTTACTGAATACCATTTGTGACTGATTTCTGTCTTTAGAAGAAATGACTTATTTTGCAGCTACATGTTATTCTATGTAAATTTATATACTCTTGAAACGGGGGTGGTGGCAGGTGTTGCTTCCAGTTGCTTTACTTGGAGCTTTGAGAGGAGTGCTGAGGTGAGTCAGACACGTCTGGGGGAGCTGCTGTTCCTCTCCTACAGATAGGTACGGTGTTGCAGTGGAAGGGTCTCAGCAAGCTGTATCTACAGCAGTTGGAAGGAGGGAATACAGGAGCTTTAGTGCCTCAGTTGAGTGTAATGGTATATTTGCCAAAATGTGGCTATTTTCTGAGGGGAAGTGGCAGCTAAAGTGGAGAGACACTGACAATGGGAAGCAGAAAATGCAAAGAAGCAGACACTGGTGCCAAGTTCCTTGCTTTCTGTTTTGGTTCCAGAGCCTATTGGGACAATCTGTGTATATATCTATGCATGTAGGTTACTTGTATTGTGTTTTGTTATAGCTACTCAAGGCCATATTTGATGTTGACAGGCATGTCTACTGCTGGGAAATATAAACAGTGTCTTAAAGGTTAGGGAAGCAAATGTCTTTGGTGGCATGAACGGTATCTGCCTGTTTATTCTGATTATATAGGGGGCAAATGGATGTTAAACTTCTGACTTGAATACTTGAGTTGATGGGGTGTGTACACCATATCAAAGTCCTATGCATTAGGTTTGGATTAGTGTCCTGAGATGTGGGAACGTGGAGACCAATTTTAAGTTTTAAAACCAGAAACTACTTCAATTCGAACAAAGAAACCTTCAGGTTAATGTCTCTCGCACTTTAGTCTTTCTATGAAATTAGAGGTCCACATTTATGATACCAGTTTCAGAAGTTTTATTTTTATGGTTTTAAGTCCAGTTGAGAGGAGTATATTATCAGATGGCCTATGTCCTTTTTAATACATTTCATTCAACCCAGACCAAAAAAAAAAAAAAAACCAAAACCAAAATAAACCAGGTATTGACAGTTATTCAGTTATTCTTAGAATGACTGAAGTAACAGATGTGTTTTCTTAAAGCTAAGTGTCTAGACTAAAAGTCTATGACAAAAAGGTGGAGATGCACTTTTACAGAGTATGCTGGAAATTAGGGTAGTCATATACCCTACTTCTGCTAATGGCAGTATTTAAACCATTGTCTTGAAATGACCCATAAGTCAGTAAGTGTTTTGAAAAGGTTTGATCTACTGGATGGTAAGTACAAGGTACCATCTGTGAGATAGGTGGTATAGCACCGTATTCACTTGAAGTTGTTCTGAATAGTAAAACCTGAGGCTTTGTCAAAGAACTGTTGGTAATGAGTGTCTTGGAGTCCAGCATACAGGAAAACACTGGATTGCCAGGATTTGTGCAGGGAGGCAGATGAGGAGATTGGTTTTGCTCAGTGTTTGGCAGTTTCTCAGCAGAATTCATCTTCCTTCCCTACAAAGGAGATAGATTTTTAATTCAGTCTTTCAAATAACAGGGCAAAGCATTTCAAATTTGTTAAATGTTTACAGTCAGAGCAAGTGTTGCTCAAGATGTGTATTGAAACACACACATGGTGGAGAGTGAGGAACTTAACACTGGCTTTTGACCTTATTTAGTAAAACTGTGGACAGTGGGTGATAAATGGGCTCATGTTGGCTATGAAGTATAGTAAAAATTGGAATTTGCATCAATTTCTGCATTAGGGATAATCTTGAGCATAGAAACTATCTTAATATGGGTGGCAGAAATAATTAGTATGGATAATAAAAACATGAATGAGAGCAAGCGCATAGTGAGACATCGCGGAGGGTTTGTTTTTTTATTGACTTTTCCTTTTCTAATATATAGAAATACATAGGCTAAAATAGAGCCCTAAACAAACCTCCAAGTGACTGCTTCCTTGCTCACATTCACATGCATGAGGTTTTTTTCCTTTGTTGGGAGCAAATTAACATAAAACAGTTCCTTCATGGAAAGTGCTCTGGTGCTGTATGGATGAGCATCTGATCACACTGTACTAAATGAGGTACCTTCCTTAGTTTTGGTGAGCAAGCTGTTCAAAATCTGCTGTTCTTCAGACGTACAATGAAATCTTTTTGGTTTTCAGTCATGTAAGAGAAGAAGAAAACATTCAGGTTGCTAGCCTGGATAAAACTCGTGAGAAATTATGGCTTGACTTTGTTACTGAGGCCTATTGTTGTCTCATGTTTATTTTTTGCAGCAGTATTAGAGTGCTGTTGGGGCCTAAATTTCTGGGCTTCAGGATCTCTGTTTGCCCGTTGATGGGACGTGGACTAGTGTAGGTGCAGGAGCTGCCTTACCAGTCGGGGTGGCTCTCGGGAAGGACACCTTCTCCTGAAGCAACACGGCCACAGGCGTCCGACCCCGAGCCTGGGCAGTTGGGAAATTCCACATTAGTTTTCAGTCATCATTAGATTGAGGCTTGGTGGGTTTTTTGCTTTTCTCTTTCCTTTAGTACAAACGTTAGGCGCCTGTAAGGGAACGCGTCCCTTCGGAGCTGGTTGTCCCTTTGCCTGACTCCCCAGGCGTTCGCCCTCCCGCGCTGGCGGTGCCTCTGGGCGCCCGCCCT